TTGTATTATAATATCTTCTTCCAACAGCGAAATCCGAGTTCGCGATAATTCATGGTGCTCTTACGTTTTTCCTCAAGAAACGAACGTTTCCCAACGAAAGCAATAGACTTATTTACGAGAGAAATACAATTATTTTGTAACCGCAGGCTTAGCGATCGGTGAGATGCGGCGCAGTTGAAGTGCAAGCGGGAAACGATGGAAAACAATGGAAAACAGCTAAACAAAGGGGATAGTGAAGACGAATGGCTCTAAAGACTGACAGGCAGTAAACGGACGGACGTTGAATTTCATTATTATGGGACTTGCATATCATCGGTTTACATGCGATTTACTCGCGAGCAGATCCTCGCAACCCGAGTGACGTACGAGCGATTCGACGATTGTTTACGAGTTCTACTTGATGCTCTCGTCGATGCGAGATCCTGGCCAATACAATGGATATCGATACTCGTGTTTGCCGATTTATGGCCAATCTCGGACCATCAGCTATGTTTCACCAGCGTGAACATCTCCTAAAATTACGGACGAAAGCGAAACTTGAATCCCAGTGAGCGATTCGAGATCTAATTTGTGAGGAAATGAACGTAATATTTCGTCGATGAAGAAGCACAGATTTCGTAATTGGGTGACTAAGGTAATAAATAATACAGTTGCTCACGAAAGTATTTGAACATTTGTCATGAAAAAAAACCTTTGCCTGTTTATTATGCAAGCACGTTATGTAAATCATTTTGACGTTTTTTTAATATTGTAGGGCAATTCAACTATCAAGATTATATTGGTCACGTTGGTTAGGGAACAAACCTGAAAATATATATATAGAAATTACAAGATGTTCGATACAAGTATATTTATAGACATTAGACATAATCCAATACATCATAAACCTCGATATTTAGCACCATCATTAATAATTATTATATACTTGAGATAGATCTGTATTGTACACTAATTTATTTACAATAGAATAAATATAATAATAAATCACAATAGAATAAATAATAATATATAAATAATAATAGAATAAATAGAATAAATTACAATAGAATAAATAGAATAATTATTATATACTTGAGATAGATCTGTATTGTACACTAATTTATTTACAATAGAATAAATATAATAATAAATCTTGTCATTTCTACATATCGTCAATTTTCTCAAATTCATTTCAAATTCTGTCAATACAGTCATGACTCACTGTAATGTAACGAAATTTCAGGTGTCTACGCAACACCTATTTATTTTATACAGAGTAATTATATCATTTTTCACGTAGTTATGATCTATCAGTTGAACCCGATAATTGGTTGCTACATTCCACGAAACTCGAACGTTGTTGGACATTGTCGGTACCCAAACATGGATCGGCAGGCACGCGTGACCATTCTGTTCAATCACAGGTAACTATCTAGGTAACCTATACGTCTGAGGCTCAAACACGCGTTGTGAATATTAACGCGAAATAATGGACTGATTTCTGAGTTCAAGTGAGTGGAAGACGATTATGCGCGAAATAGATTCCACGAGGTCGTTGAACCAAGCTTCTTCTTCTTTATCCTCGAAGTTGAACAAGACCGTTGCATTTTGAGAACTCTTCAATGCGAACGATTACCATACCGAGTAACGCTCTCAACATTCGTTTTGCCCACGATGTCGCAACGTTTCCCCTTTCCTTCCCCATTAAAGGAAAAATAATTCAAAAGTTTGTTCGTGGAAGACGAAGCGGTTTGAAGCGAGCGAAGAGAAGAAGATCCATTACCTTCGCGAGGAAGCTTATGTTGATGCAAGTCCGTGAGAAACGGCCGAGCTTGGCGAAAGGGCCGTAGTTTTAAGACTAACCGACGCGATTAAAATAAATTTTTGCGGAACATCGCGAATCCGAGCTGCATCCGAGCGGAACGGTCGTTTGTTTTATCAGAAGTGGACGTGCCCGCTTTGCGTCGCCTGGTCACGCTCGAAAATACGATACGCGTGACTTGGAAAAACGGTGCGTTTGGAAGTTGATTCATGAAATGATACAACCGCGTGAAGTATTCACCGGCTGATAGCGGTACAGCGGCCGAACGATCGATCGATCGGCCAAAATCGTTTCGAAAACGGAAATTAGCCTCGTCGAGCGTCCTTTACTGAAGTGATGAATATCGTTTCGACTGTGCACAATCCACGATGTACAACACAACAGCCGTAGTTATCGTAGACTAATCTTCATAAACTTTAAAGATTTAGAAATTTTTTATTTGCGTACAAAAACGTAAAATTAAGAAGAGAACGATCCTTCACCAATTTTGGTTACTTTAGAAAAAGTTACGATAATATACGATGTAATGTAATGCACAAATTTAAAATGATATGCAATATAATTGTAATATGGCCTTTATAACCTAAAAAAGTGCGAAAAATTTTCAACAGTAGCTCATCCTTCCTGGTTAAAGAATTAAATCTCAACTCTCTGTGATGATGTTAATAGCTAAATTTACAAAAATTTCTGGTGCGAATGAACTTTAAAAGCTTTCCGATTTTCCAATCGGCGAGTTAACTTGTCGTCAAGAGTTATATTTCAACATTCGATGAAACATTATCGATAATATTTGAATCCATAATGAACAAATTTGGGTTCTAATTATTATAACGGTAGTTGTACATAGATATACGAAGCGTGCCATTGTAATGGTACGATATGCATTTTACTCTACTATTTTAATTTGTAGGATTCTTGAGTACATCACAATCTCTAATATCTAAATCCACGCAAAACAAAAACAAAAAAAAAAAAAA